CTGATGTTATTCCAGAACCTATCTGATGTTTTACCAGATATTTCCATTATGATTCTGATGCCCTTCTAGAATTGGTTTTACTCCCTAGTGAGTTTCCAGATATATATACCTCTGTAATTCTAATGGTTTTGCCAAAATTTCATTTCTCTTACCGTCTGATATTTTTTCAGATGTGTCTTTTATTCTGATGTTTTCCCATAACTCCTTTGTGTCTATCTGATATTTTTCCAGATACGACTTTACTTCTGATATTTTTCCAGAAACCCCCTTGTGTCTATCTGACGTTCTTCAAGATACGACCTTGTTTATCTGACGTTCTTCCAAATATATCTTCAAAAAAAATTCCCATACATTTAATGCTTTTATAAATTTCTCGGGAGTATCTTCAGAATCTTTGTCTTCATCTAATTCTCTTCTAGATGTCTTCAACATATTTCTGACTATGGTTAACAATTGTTGATTGTTTTTAAGTCTATTTCCATTTTTCATCCAAAGATTTTCTGAATTTGTTCAGGAGTTTATTCGATGTTTTTCCGAATATCTCTGATGCTTTCCAGAGTTTATTAAATGATTTTCTGAATATCTCTGATGTTTTCTATGTTTTCCAGAGTTTCATTCAATGCTTTTTTGAATGCCGCTGATGTTTGCTCGAAAGTCCTTAATGCATTTCCCTGAATTCTCCTCACCTTATTCGATGATCTTCTAAATGTTGTGACTCTTTTCCATCCAATTCCATTCATGGATGATGACTGTTGATTCCCCAATGAAGTCGCCATTTCTGTCTCGGTGAGAATCGGATTTCAAGTTATTGAATTAAGTTGAATCACAGAATCTTAATTCACCACCAATCTTTAATTTATCCAAGGGGAGATAAAAAGAACGAATAACTCAAAACATGCAATGCAAAACAAAGCAAAAGAGAATCTAAGGTTCGAGGTTTGGTTATACCTAGGGAAGGTGCTAGCATCCTAAGTATCTGTAGTACTCTACAGGAACCTCTTGTTTTATTATTTTATTTATTATTTTGTCTGCTAAAGGGTGAAAAGGTAAAAGGGTCCTAAGGTGTTACTTTTAAGTATGTTCGCCAAGACATCGCTTCTCGTGCCTACATATCCTGACGGGAATAAAATCAGAGCAGTCGTAGTTCTCCTCAATAAGGGTGAGGAATTCTTGACTATGGTCAAGGTTCCAGGACGGAGAGGTAAGTGTCTATGATAGAACACCTACATAGAATTAAGAAACTCTAAACCTAAGGCTATATTGAAAGGGAGGTAAGTGCCCATGGCATGACACTTACATAGAGTGTGGCGACTCTAATCTTAAGGCTAGGATAAACAGGAAAGAGAATGTTCATGGCAGGACACTCACATAGAGTACGGCGACTCTAATCTTAAGGCTAGGATGAAAGGGGAAGGATCTAAGGTTAGACTAAGTAGGACATGGCAGTCAACAAAAGGGATCCTCTTTTGGAATCAGGCAACAAAAAATTATTAATTAATTTAAATATTAATATTTAAATCGAATAAAAATTATGACACAAATTTATTTACATTTAAATATAATCCAAATTAACTAATAAAAACTAGAAATAAAAATACTAAAATAAACAATTAAAATATTTTTGGTATTTCCATCCTTATAAAAGTAATTAAAACAAAATTTTTTACATTTTTCTATGCTAAAATAAATAAATTAAAATATATATTTTTAGTCTTTTTAATATTACAAAATTAACTAATAAATTAAAAATAAGAAAATCTTTTTAGTATTTTCTAATATTATATAAATAATAAAAAAATAAACTTTATTAATAAAACAACTCAGAATAATAATAACCGATATTCAAAAATAAATTAAATTTGCCTCTTTCTAATATATTAAATCAAAGCCACACACTATTTCGTTCACAACTCATTTTTTATTTGCCACATCATTAAAAATCTTATGTGACACTCTTCAAAATACAATATTCTAAACCTTCTCTAATTCATTGTAGAAATAAGTGAAAATTTTCATGTATAAATTAAAAGGCTTCTATTCATTGTAGAAATAATTGTAACGTTTCATGTATAAATTTCATTTAATTAAAAGACTTATATTATGATATTCCATGAATTATCTCCTTCTATTCCTCTAACTTAAAATCTATTATATTCATTGATTTATTTCCTTTATATCTTCACTTTATATATAACTTAACATCAAAACACATATTATTATAAATTACATACAAGGTACAAATTATATATTCACCCTTAATCAAAATTCAAACTATTAAATTTTTATTCTATTTTCTATTACGCACACTTATTTTCTATAAAAAAAATTAAATTAATCAATTTTCAAACAATTCAATAAAAAAACTAAATTAATCAATTTTTCAATAACTTGATAAAAACAACTAAATTAATCAATTTTCAAATAACTCAATAATAAAACTAAATTAATCAATTTTTCAATAACTTGATAAAACAACTAAAGTAAAAATAATTCGATAAAAAACTATGAGATCTGGATTATTTCCTAAAAAAATAAAATTAATCATTTTTTGAATAACTCCAAAAAAATCATGTCAAAAAAAAATTCAAAAATATTATTTAAAATTATAATTGCCGATAAATATTACAAATTAAACCATAAAATTTGATCTATCATTGTTTACATAAAAATGTTCTATAATGTATTGCTACATGGTAAATAATTGAAATTGAATAGCTAATTCAATTGAATTAAATCAATTATAAATGTTATAAGTTAATGATATAGTTAAATAGAGAGTTTCATCTAAAATTTTAGTGTTGATTGACATACATGATTACATAGAGTGTGATTTATTTAAATATGAAACATTTTTCATCTATGAGATAATGAAGAATAGACATTCTAAGGGATGTTGGGAAAAAAAAGAAAGTATAAAAAAATATTGAAATTTTTTACACTTATTTTACATTTTAAAATTAAATTTCTATTATTCAAACATATTTCTTTTCATTTAAAATTTTACTCTCTTTTATCATCTTCATCTTATCGTCACAATTAAAAAAAATTTATAATAAACAAAATCAAAATCTACATTTTATAATACAATTTAAAATTTTCATTTCAACCCGCGTATTGCACGGGTCTTAATCTAGTATAAAATAAAATAAAATTTATTACAAAATTTGATCTATATAACCGACTCTCGTTGAAGTAAATTTAATTATAGTTTTTATTGTATTCATAAATAAAATAAAATAAAAGACAATAAAGCACATATGAAAAAAACACATGCAGTCCAAAAACATTCATCATGATAAATATTTGTGGTATAAGAAATAAATAAATTATTTATTCAAACTTAGACTATATAAGATACAAAGAAAGAAGGAATAAACACTCATAGAAATGTCAATTTACGACTGTTAGCGGAGATCCTTGCGAGGATTGTCCTGTTTAGAGCTCTAAAGATGAGGAATTTCCTCTCGCAGAGACAGAAATGAGGAGAAAAATTTCTCTGACAACACTTCGAGAACGGAAAATACATTCCCCGCCCCGTAAAACCCTCGACCCGTCTATTTATTTGAATATAGTTAATTTAAGATATAATTTATATTTTACATTAGGTTTTTTAATTATTTTTTTATGTTTATTTTTAAAAATAAATAAATATTAATGTATAGAATTTTTGTAGTTGTTTAGGCATACAATTATTTTAAAAAAAATACTGTCATTTATGTTGTTGAATTTTATAGCATTTTATAGAATTTTATTTAAAAAAATTATTATTGTGTCCCATTAGTATTTTTAATAAAAAGATAACAAATGTAAAATACTAGTATTTTTTTAATAACAAAATAAATATGTGAAATACATGTGTTTTTTAATTCTCATAAAAAATATAAATATTTTAAAAAATAAAATGTTAATGGAAAAATGTAGGATTCACGGAGATTTATGGAGAGCAGGAATTCGCGAGAAACAGAGATGGAGATAGAAACTCCCCTGTGACAGAAATCGGGAACGGAGACAAAAAATGAATTTAGTGGCGGGGACGGGGACAAAGATGGGGATGTATCTCACACCTCCGACCTGCCTCATTGACATCCCTAGACACTCGAGTTCAATTTATCCAGCCATAATATTACTTACAATGTTTTGAAAAACCAGATCAATTATCTATATGGAGAGAAACAAATGAATTATTAATCGAACTATATGATTAAATTGAATTAAATTGAATAATTAAATTGAATAAATCAGTTTCTATAACAAAATTATATTTATTAAATTGAACTAATCAAATAATTTAATCTTTAAAAAATATCACGACATCATTTTAGAATATCACAATTTCATTCCTTAAAATCAAATTTTAAAGAGTCATTACACACAACAAAATAATATAAAATACAAATTCAAATAAATTTTGAACAAAATATAATTCTAAATTAAAACTAACTAAATTTTGAATAAAGTTTGCTTATATTTTTATTTTATTTTTAAAAAAATTATCAAAATAGTGACATTTTGTCTCAAGAATAAAATGCACGTATTTAAGTCTTCGATTTTCCAAAATTCTCAATTCATGAATTTTTATAAGTTTTGATCGATTCTAGTCCGTTCTCACTAATTCAATAATATATTTGATCTAACAATTTTCTCGCATTTTTAATTCAACTGAATCAAACAGCTGACTCAGTCCAATTTTTAAAACACTAATTTATATAAAACAACATGAAATAAATTTAAATTATTTTTATAAAATATTTTAAAGAACTTATTTCAAAATTTATTCTAGCCAGGAAACTACACAATATCCGGCGATTGTCCCAATTTGTTCCAAACCAAACCAACATGCTTCAACATGAAGACTTATTCACCCGCTTGAATCCACGTGTCGAAAATTAATTGGCTAACACGGAGGAGTGGATTTCATAATGCAGTGTCTCACGAGGTAGCAGAATTTGAACCCAAATCCAATTCGCTTTCCATAGGAGAAAAGGAGAATAATTCATTTCATGGCTTCAAAGTTTCGAGCCTTTTGGAATCACCCAATTGGACCCAAAACCGGTGAATTACTTAGATTTTTTCGTTTTTTTTCCTTATCCTTTCATGTTTTTGTTATGAATTAGTTCTTTTCAATTTGATAATGCATTCATTGGATTTGGATCCCTGGATAGTGTTTTATTAAAATGTCAATGCTTAATCAGACTTTTGATCTATTACTTTTATTTCACATGCTTTAAGAACAAATACCAAATAGATTATATTTTTCATCTGATTTGAACTGTTGTCTTATTTTTTTTCATTCACCAATTTTGTCGTGAGGGTTAATGTTGTTATTTTTGACCTGTATCGATGCGTAAATTGTGACTAATTTTGTTTGTTCAGTTCACTTCTGGGCACCTACAATGAAATGGGGTATCAGCATTGCCAATATTGCTGATTTTACAAAACCACCTGACATGATCTCGTATCCTCAACAAATAGGTATGTGCATGCATATATATAACTCTATGTAGTGTCGTCTTTTGCGAACTTCTCTCCGTTCGCGCCCTTTTGCTCATCATTCATCCTTGTGAAAATGTGTATTTCTGAATTCCTTTTGTTTTTTACCCAGCTGTTATGGCTACTGGACTAATCTGGGCGCGTTACAGCACTGTAATTATACCAGTAAGTTATCTTTTTTTTCTCAGACAGATTGCTTTTAACTAGTACATGAAATGTTGAAAATTATACCAGTGCAAGAAAATTTTATAGTTTCACTTCATTATCTTCATAATTCTGGTTTATAGTTACATTATCTTTCTTGCAAGACTATGACATGCTCAACTTGTAAGATTCTGTAATTCTGATATGTTAGTGCCAACTACTTTCGATGTTACAGAAAAATTGGAACCTTGTTAGTGTAAACCTTGCAATGGCTGGAACTGGCATATACCAACTCTCGCGCAAATTGCGGTAAGTGATATATAGTTATCAATATTTATGTGAAGTTTTTGTGAGATTGCTATTCTGCTACTTTGCCCCAAAAGTATCTGTTTGATGAGGTTAGTTTGTCCCTTCCTAGGCCCAAAAATAATCGAAACCTCAAACACTATTTTTTATCAGTAATTATAAAGTTTATTTTCTTGAGAGGATTGAATTGAGGTTATATAAAATCAAAATTTGACATCTTTCCTCAAAATCTTGAAGAAAAATGTTGAAGGACAAAGTACATTTACAATGTAAATGGAAAAACTTTCGTTTGTAGATTAACCTTGTGTGATGGATAGCCTTTGATATATCTTGGTGCTGTGTTTGGATCTGTTTTGCTTCTCCATGCTGATATTAATTTAACTTGTGATCTACTTTCCAGGCAAGATTATTCTTCAGAGGAAGCTGTAGCAAAAGAATGATGTCGCAGAATTTGAAAATATCAAGTTATTGTGTGCTTGGCGATGAATCACATACTCTAACACGGGCATCTTTCACGACACGAGTTCATCATGTTTATTTAAAAATTGTATAACAGTGACATATATTCGTTTATATAGTATAATTAAATAAAATATGAACATTCTGCATAAAAATTTCAATTGAAAAAATATGTATATAGCAATTTGTTGTTACATAAGTGTTTTTAAATCAAATATGATAGTTATTCATCTTTATTTATACATCAACTATTTCAAAAAGCTAAAAATGAGGTAATGCAACACAATGATTTTAATTATTGTTTGAACATATCTTTAGTTTTCTTTACATAAGTGTCTAAGAGATGTGATGTCTAAGGTGTGCCAAAGCAAAAAAAACATAAAAAAGATAATTTTTGACACGTCTTAAGTTTTAAGTTTTGTAGCCATGAAATATTTTGAAACAATATTATCATGTCTTCCCCAAATCAAAACCATGATTGGAAATTGTTTTGGACAATATGGCTGCAACTTTTTAGGCATATAGTGAGGAAATCAAGGTTGGATTCTTAGAAACTTTGTCCATATGTGTCTATTATGGAGAGAGAAATATAAATGGTTGCCATACAATAATTCTTATATAATCTATGTTTAAGTGATGTTTTTAATATTGTTATTGCGAGCCATACTCCTTTTGCGATATTTGTTTGATGAGTCATATGATCGACCATTGTCAAAACATTATTTCACTCCAAATACAAGAAAATCGTGTACATTTTATTGTTGGAAATTCAACAGAAGTTATGAGGAATTCCACTGCAATCTTAATTAACAAGAATCATTTACACCGATCAAATTCTCTCTCATTCTTTATTCTTCACTCGAATAAATCAATCAATCTTGATTACAAGATGATTCTCACTGCACAATTGTTGATAGAAGAAAAAAGAAAATATGAAATTGAAGAAGAAAGAAATTAGGGTTTAGGCAAAATAGGAGAAGAAGAAAAAATTTTGTGCAGAGCTTCTCTCTGCTTTCAAATTGGAGTTTTATTCTTTACAACGACAAGTTATTATACAATGATAGAAGTTACTACTTATTTATAGATTTGGGTTTGTTTGCTTCTTAAGCAAAATCCAAAATACCTAATTCTGCTAACACTACAAAATTAGACCTAAGTCGAAATTCCTGTTGAGGTACATTACTTCGACGTTTTGACACTAACATGATTTTGACATTTCCTTACTTCTGTCGAGCAACATGTTTCGACATAAGGAATTACATTCTCAACACACCATCTAATTCATTGTGTCTAAGTTACTACATTCATCATATACATTAGTTTTTTGAACACTTCGACCTGCACTCCTTTCGTCATGATGTTTGCAAATGTTCCAAGTTCAGCTTCGCTTTTGCAACTTGCTCTCAAAGATAATGGAATCTCATTTCGATGTGCTTGCTTCGTCCATGCGCTATCAGATTCTTCACTAGATTAATAGTCGACATGTTGTCGTTCTTCATGGTAATTTCTCAATGATTCTTCCCTGTAATCTCTTCCACCAAATTCACCATCCATGTTGATTGACATGCATGGAGAGAAGCAACTATATACTCTACTTCACAAGACAAAAATGACATTTCCGATTTCTTTCTTGAACTCCAAGCAACTGGTATACCACCAAGCATAAACACACAGCCAATTGTGGATTTTCTATCCTCAGCATCACTACACCAACTTGAGTCGGTATAGCCCGTTAGCTTGCATTCTTTTCCTTCATCAGTTGTAGGAAACAAAATGCCATAGTCGAGAGTTCCTTTAAGATACCTTAATATCCTCTTCGTAGCTACTAGATGTGATACCTTTAGCATTTGCATGAATCTACTCACCATACCTGCACTATGTGCTAAATCAGGCCTTGTGTGACAAAGGTATCAAAGTGATCCAATGAGTCTTCTATACTGCCTTAGATCAACATCATCTTCATCTGTGTCTTTCGATAGTTGCCATTTGGGCTCAATTGGAGTCGAAGTTGAATTGCAGTCTTGCACCTCAATTTTCTTGTGTATTTTGTCTGCATACCTTCTTTGGTACATCATTACGCCTCTACTACTCCTATAGAATTCGACAACAAGGAAGTATGAGATATTTCCCAAGTCTGGCATTTCAAACTTCTCACTTAAGTCATGTTTGAAATCTTCAATCCCCTTTTTCCAACTTACTGTTATCAACAGGTCATCGACATAGAGACATGGTATAAGCAAATCATTATTGCTTCTTCTTACATATACTTCATTCTCAGTTGTGCACTTCACAAATTCCTTCTCTCTTAGGAAATTGTCTACCTTTTTATTCTAAGCTCGTGGAGCTTACTTAATACCATACATGGCTTTATGCAACCTGTATACCTTACTTTCTTCGTCTTACTTCACAAACCCAACTGGTTGTGCAACATAAACTTCTTCATCTAAGGGGTCATTCAGGAATGCACATTTCACACTCATCTGACATATGTGTCAGTTGTTCATGTTTGATAGACCAATAACCAACCTGATTGTTTTGATCCTAGCAACAAGTGCAAAAACTTCGTCGAAGTTCATTCCTTCTTTATGAAGAAACCCTTTCGCCATAAGTCTTGCCTTGTGTCGAGTTATTTCTCCTTTGAAATTCAACTTCACCTTATATACCTATTTCACATCGATTTCCTTTTTGTCTTGAGGCAATTTGACAAGTGACCAAGTGTTGTTGACTTCGATGGACTTCAACTCCTCATTCATTGCTTTTACCCATTTTGAATCCTTCATTGCTTCAACTGCATTGACTGGTTTGACATCTACAAAGAAAACATAGTGTACCAACTCACCTTCATCATCGACCACATCATTTGATGTAATCACACATTCTTGCAACCTTGTAGGCACGTATCTTGTTCTTTGAGGCATGCTTGTGCTTGCTTGACCTTTGACTTCTTCCTGTCGAACTTCTCTTTCGACTTCACTTGCTGGTTCTTCATATAAAATTCTCAATGAATCTTTATTTGCATTTTCAGTCCAATCCCATTCCTTAAGCTCGTATATGATCATGTTCGTATTGATCACTACTTGTTTGTTCACTGGGTCGAACAACTTGTATCCTCCAGTCGAATGATATTCTACTAGGATCATTTGACTCGACTTGTCATCAAGTTTTCTTCTTAACTGATCAGGTAGGTGTCTATGTGTTATAGATCCAAATACCTTCAGACGACTTAAGCTAAGCTTGACACCAGACTAACATTCTTCTGGCATAATTCCTTCTAGCCTTTTCGTCGAACATCTGTTTAAAATATATGTTGCAGTCGACACAGTTTCTCCCTATAATTCTTTGGATAGATGTTTGCCTTTCAACATACTTCTCAACATATTCATGATGGTTTCCTTTTTACTGAAAGTGAGATCAACATAAGAAAATTGGGGGTTTGAATTTGGGTTTAAATTGAACAAAAACTTTTTACTCGCTCAATAAAAATCACCGCTAATAAACAACAAAGAGAAATACACTTCGATTTTTATACCGGTTCACTTGAAAATCTCAAAGTTAATCCAGTCCATCCGTCAAGGTGATTTCTCCTTATATCCAAGAACTTAATCCACTCTAATCAACTAATTACAACTGTACTAGCAATCGCTGGTGACTAACAAACCACAAAGACGCACAATCTATGTCTTCTCAAGGATCCTGACCTAACTGGTCCCTTAAGGAAATACAAACAACAACTTGATTACAACTGCACTAGCAACCGCTGGTGAATAACAAACCACAAAGACACACAGATTATGTCTTCTCAAGGATTCTGACCTAACTGGTCCCTTAAGGAAATACAAACAACAGTTTGATTACAAAGTTGTGTTTACAAATATTACTTCTACACAAGCAAGTATAAACAAGTTAAAAGCATAATACACTTAAAGAAAATTCTGCACAAATTTAGACAACAGTCTTGTAAAAATTTATTTGTTATTTTGCTTGCTTACTTGCATGCTGTAATTCTTTAAGTCTTCAAGTCTTTATATAGCTAGTAAAAAAGATCCGTTGAAGGGTAGATCTGGTATTCTTCATGAATGAGTTGGCGACTTGATAACAGTTTGATACGGAGGGGACAAGAATCGCACTACCTCAATTTCCTTACTCCACGAAATTCTCTTAGTGGAAGGAATATTGGTTTGTACCATGTACTATTTTTCTCACGTATAAACTCATCCCTATCTTCTATTCTTCAATGGCTTCTGGATAAATCGTTGTTTAAAGCATGATTTAGAATAGTCGATTTTACTTGAGTTCAGAAACTTCAATCATTAATCAGAAGGTTGATCACATCAATATCTGACTTGAGATTCTTCAGATTTTTTAGAACCTTCGGCGTTTAACCTTCGAAAGCTTGAGGAGTCTTCAGAAGTGAATTGATCAGAGTCACACGTCAGAAGCAAGATCCAAGAGAATGTTTCAGCAACAACATACAGTTTTCTTAGAAGCTTCTCATCTGTGAGTTTGAGCAGAAGCGATTTAAATCAATATATTCAGAAACTTGTAACGTTTTACGTTCAAGAGTCAGAATCAAAGTTGTTTGCTAAAGATACACAATAACACACTGTTAGGGTACCAAAATTATTCTCACACAAATACTAACTTGTTATCATCAAAAATTAGAGATACAAATGTAGAACAAAATCTTGTTCTAACAATCTCCCTCTTTTTGATGATGACAAAACACTGTATTTTGATGAACAATTTTTGTCGGGTAATCACCAAAACATATATCAGAAAGAAGCACAAAGCTCCCCCTGAGATGAGCAACCCTAAAAAGATAATCAGAATGAAATAACACTTCCCTGATTAACCTTTTTGTTGGAGTAGATGAACCTTCTGTTCAAAAGAACTGTTTATCTTTCAGAAGTTTCTTGAACTTGTCCTTATTGTTGTTAAGCATTTTAAAAAGGATTTAACACACGGTAACAAATATTAACTT